TCTTTACAGCTACGTCCTGAATAAGCAGCACGGACTTACTTTTTGTATTCAGCGTTTTTCCTGTCCTTGGGAATGTCGAACAGCTGGTCAAATGAAGACAGGTAAGTGATGTACTCCAGCTTCTGTACGGACACAGAGAGCAGTCAGACACATCCTGGCTCGGAGGCTTATTCTTTATTAATGAGAATAAACTTCAGCGTCACAACCTCAGCTCCCTTTAAGTTGATGTACTTCAGGTAGCAGTCGTGCAGGTCGAGGTATCGGCCGTACCCCTCCTCATCGGTGAAGTCCACCATATCTGCCATAAACACAAGTCATTCCTGGGTGTGAAGGTCACAGATGTTACTGACAATAACTGTTGAGTGTAGTTATGTAACTGCAGCGCAGACGTGGGGAAGTCAACACAATAAAGTGTGTTTGGTAAACAAAGGCAACCAGTGCTTTGCCTAAATGAGCCTTTTCATCAATGTTGATGCTTTCAGTTAATCCAGCTGTGAGATGGCAACAAAACCTACAGCCTGCCCGACACGCTCTCCAACACGAGCCTCTCTGTTAGTGCTGATTAGCATAAGATGATGATCGGTGCTTCTTTTGATGAGCTCCGGCATCGATCACGTTTCCTAATTTGACCCAAGAACAAAAGTAGCCAGAAAGACGTCTCCCTACAGACGTTACTGCTGCTCAACACTTAAGTTTAACAGTAACCACATTAACTGAACAGCAGCCTGCACCACACTGTTACACAATAACACCGGCGAGCTTGAGTAAAGCTTTTCAATGTAACGCAGGAATGAGTCACATCACTGTGGAGCACAACAGGCCAAACTTCAAAGTGATGCACGAATTCACGGGCGTCCATGTCTTTATATAAGAGCCTACAATGACCACGACTACTAAACTGGCAGGTTTGGTAGTCGTGAAGCCAACTAATGGCTTCAAACTTCTTCCATTTATTAATATTTGTGAAGTTTGCAAAGTGCTCTTCTGCACAAATACTACGAACGATTGTGCTTTTCCATGACACAGGTCGACTGTGCAGCTACGAACAGCCCAGCTTCTTTTCAACTCTATTTAACTTCCTACATCTGATCGACTGTTATCCTTCAACTAAGCCAAGAACAATAAAACAGGCTGCCAGGCGATGGAACAGATTGTGTTCATGTTGACCACGTCCTGTTTATCTGGGAGAAAAAGGACACGATCATCATCACATCTGCAAACATCTGATTATTGATCCTAATTTTGACCTTGAGCCACGTCCTGATTGTTCCTCAGCTGTTACAAAATGAAATCAAACTTGTTGGTTGCTGTGTGGGTCTGTAAAATTAAAAGTGTATTGGTACAAATGTGTGATAAATGTCCTTCATGCAGAGGGAGCCTTCACAAACAGGATGGACGCCAAACGGCACAAATTTACTACAATTAGAACTAAAAGAGAAACTAATCAGCTGAGTGCTGTTTTTATTTCAAACAGACGTGTGCAGATATCTAACAACACTGATCTGATTCTCACACTTCAGTAATCATTCTTCACATGCAGTGCAGCTACTTTCTGAGTTTCCTCATTAGATCCCATTTTTGTTGCTCCTCTAGCTGCTGTTCTGTGGGGTTTGCATGTGTTGTTTGAACTCACTCTGAGCCTCCTCGCTGGGGTTATCTCTGGCCTTCATCAGCTCCTCGAACTCTGCAGACATGGGGATGGAAATCTGCAGGAAGGACAACAGAAATCAGTTTCAAAGACCTGATGCACGCTTTCAGTTGACATTTAGGAATCAAAAGGATAAATACTTCATTTGGATGCTTTCGGTGGAACTCCTTTATCTGTTTGAGTCGGTTGTAGAACTCTGCAAACTCGTTTGGTCCTGAGATGGCTGCAAGTTCGTCTCTCCTCATCCTGTCAGACAAATCATCCAGGAACACGAGAAGAACAGGAAGTTATCGGGACAGCAGCAGTCATGCATTCACCCCTCGCCCCTGGACCAATGGAGGAGCACGGGAGAGGCATGCTGACCGAGCTCTAAACCGTCTTTGCTCAGACAGCTGTCTATTACAAAGTGTGTGTACTGTCCCACTGCACTCGTGTGAGAACAGTGTAGC